TAACAAGAAACTATTGATAAATTTACCATGGATATACAAATATTGTCTGCCATCAAATCTTACCCATTTCCATCGTCCAAACCTTTTATATCTGTAGATATACCATACTCATAGAAGTCCCTAGTTTGTTATATTTTTGTATAATTTATTGGTAACAAAATCAATTATAAAACCAGTGGCCAGATCCAATATCCAGGAAATGCTAAAAAACTTTTTCCATCAGTTGATTATCTATATGGTTATTTTCTGTAGGAATATATATTATTAAGAAATATTGATATAATTTTTACAAGTGCAGGCAAAATATAAAAACCTAACTCTATTGGGCGTTATCAGAAAAATTTAAGTAAAAAAGTAATTTACTGATATTACTGATTACTTAATGTGTAATCAATATTCTTAAACATAGTTTTCTGGAATGAACACTTTAATTTATTACTTTTTATTTTTTGGGTATTTTTATTTTATTTTTATTTTTTTTTTTGTATTTTTCAGTTTCTCCTTGTTGATGAAGGTGTGGTCCAGAAATAACAAATTATGCATGATTATTGAACAAAACTATGACTTTCTGTAACGAGCAACCAATTCGATTAAGGTATTATATTATTTTATATTTTTATATTATTTATATTTTATTTTTTATAATAGTTTTATTTACCCATATATTTATTTTCCAATGGTTTACATGCGCAGATTTCAAGTACTTCCAACTAGTTCAGTCGTGAAAAAATGATCAAAACCAACTTTTTGCAACCACCCCAAAGTGCGTGCCTTTTACCAAATTTGATTTCCTCCGACATTATTTATTGCAATATAAAGAATAATACGATTTATACAAAATTTATACCTCTAAATTTAACTTACAAGACCAAATATGAACAAAATGAAAAACTTCGGTAATGAATTGATTCATTATAAATATATCAACACGACTGATATTGTTTACATTTTCTTAGTTTTATATATGAGAAACTTTTTTCGATTTTTTAAAATTAACGCAATTTCGAAATGAAACGTGCATGAGTAAGTGTCGAAAAATTCTTCTGGTTCCATAAATGCTAAATGCATTACCAAAGAATGAAATTATTCTAAATGTATATACTGTTAAATATATGATATAGATAATAGATAAAAATTCCATTTCAATAAACCAAGTAGATCCTGTTTATATATATATATATATATATATATATATATATATATATATATATAATATGAATATGAATATTAGGGTGGTCAAGTTGTATAGAACCAAGAAAATTCACCGGGGCATATTGCTGTTCTGGCTCTGTGGGTCATTTCAAGAAACTTTGCCAAAAAAACACAGCTAAGACATAAATTTCGAGCAAGCAAAATTTTCAATAAAGTTTTTTCTTTGTCTGTTTTCTTTGAGTCTGTGAAATCGTTGAAACTTTGCATATATAAAATTGATAATCAAAACAACTTTTTTTTAAATATCAGAGGTTTCTGAGAAATGAGTAGAATTATAAAAATCAATTAAAATTTTCAAAAATATACTGCAAGTTTTATACATATATCTACAGCAGTTTTTATTCATATTTTAGGATGGTTTTTGATTATCAGCTCTATAACCTTGGGAGGTTTTAACAAATCTGATTATAGGATGCAGGATTAAATCTGATTTCGCTGTAGATTTAAATATGAAAGGAATTTTATTGTGAAAAATACGTCGGCTCAAAATTCACTTTTAAGCTATAGTATTTTTGGCAAAGCTTTTTAAAAAGACCCATAGAACCAAAATTGTATCGTATTCAAGAAATTTGACCCGCCCTTATGTATACATATATGAAGATATATACATATTTATACATATATATACATATACATATACATATATATATATATATTTATATATATATATATAAATATAAATATATATATATATATATATATATATATATAAACAAACTAGTGTAAGATGAAATGTATGATGCAAATAAGTGATGGCATATGATTGATTGCTAAGTTTCTAATTAATATTTAAGATTTTTTAATATTAATCTATATTTGATTGATGGCATGAAACAACTCATGATTGCATATATATTAAGTCGACTTTTAAATTAATATCTCTAACTAAAATTAATTGAGAAGTAAGGTCTCGACTTCTTATCATATGCAATAGATGAACGCATAAGATCTATATATTTTCTTTATTTTTTCAAATTGTGTAAAAGAATTTTACATTAGTTTTCTATCTTTTTTTTTCATTTTGAGTGGTAAATGATTTCGGATTTATATGAGATAAAAATATTTACTTATAAGAAAACGATGTAAAGGTTACTTGAACGCAATAAAATTTTATCTCTAAATATATATAAATATATATGAAAAATATTTAAAAATATTATTTGTAGGACCGTACAGTACTACAATAAAACAGGAACGATTAACTTGGGTTTTATGCTTTAATTTTTAGTTTTTTTTTTTTTTTTCAGGTGACCTAATTGATTGGGATTAACATAATCAGAGGTATGTTTAGAATGATAGTTTTTGAAAAAGAATCATTAAATCTTATTATTAATGCTTCCTATATGCAATTTTAATTGCAATGCATGCATTTTTTCTTAAAGATAATGTAGTAATTGATGATTTGACTTATTTAATAAGATAATTTTTAATACTTATAATTAGATGTGTTCAATTGAGAAACTAAAATTTTCTATGAAATTTGTTATATATATATATATATATATATATATATATATATATATATATAAATTAGTACCAAAGTGTTTCCACAGAGTTTTTTCCAAAGCGTATTCAAATTTGCCGCCATATTTTTGTGTTTAGAACATGCAGCGCCTCTATACAAAATCGTTCCCAGTTCTTCGGGAACTACGTAGTGACTACCGGGTTCATATGGTTCTGTGTTAGATGGCGCCACCGACCTAAACGTCAAACGATTGACAGTTATTTAACAGTATTACTTTCTTTTTTAATAATTTTTCAACGTGTTAAAGTCATTTAGTTAATAGTTAGTGTTCATACAATTAAATGAACATTTTTATATTTCATAATATTATTGCAATATATTTCAAAGCTGTAAGGAGATTTGGTGCTTAACAGTTAAAGGTACATTAAATTTTAAAATGAATGTAAGTAATTGATTTGCACAATATATAAGTATATATGCTTATGTATGCTTTATTTTTTAAATAATTGTGAAGTCTAAGTTTAAAGCATTCATAAAAACACTAGAAGATTTATTTTAAATTGAAATGTAGGGGCTACACAATTATTATAACTCAGCAAAAGCTATTTCGTAGGACTGCTTTACCGATTGTTCTTTTGCTTCAATAAGTAACGTTCTTTTACTTCAATAAGTAACGTTCTTTCACTAAATAAAGATTCTATCAATATATTACTTATACAGTTAATTCGAAATCTTTTGAATTATGGATATAATAACTATTGTCTTTAAATCTAAAGTATTATAATTCAGCGAAACCTATTTCGTAGAATCATCTCAACAAGAGTTTGTTCAGTTACGTCAATAAGTAAATACTCAGTTAATATAATACTTGTACAGTTAATTTAAAATGTTTTAAATCATACAAAAATAATAGTTTTATTAAATCTAAAATATTAATTCAGAAAAATATTATGGAGGAAAACTTTAATGATTTTTCATTTACATCGATAAGTAAATATTTTATCAACATAATACTTTAGTTAGTTTCAAATATTTTAAATTATGTATAAATTAATTATTTTCTCTGAATCTAGAATATTTTAATACAGCCAAACTAATTACATATAAACACTTCAACGATTGTTTGTGTCTTTACTTTGATAAGTGAATATTCTTGATAGAGTATATTTACTTGTCAAAGCTAAGGAAAAAAAAACAATTGTTCAATTGATTATATGTAATTAGTTTATCTGAATTAAAATATTTTAGATTCAAAGGAAATAGTTATTTTATGCATAATTTGAAAGATTTCAAATTAACTAAAGTATTATATTAATAAAATATTTACTTATCGATGTAAATGAACATTTATTGAAGTTTTCCTGCACAATATTTTTCTAGATTGTAATATTTTAGATTCAATAAAACTATTATTTATGCATGATTTAAAACATTTTATATTAACTATATAAGTATTATACTGACACAGTGTTTACTTAAAGTGATCCTTTGTATTAGGTTTTGCTGAATTATAATATTTTTGATTTAAAGACAATAGTTATTATATCCATAATTCAAAAGATCTAAAATTACTCATCCAGTCAATTTTAAATCTTTTAATTCATGGATAAAATAATAATTTCAAAAAATATATAGTTGGTGAAACTTATTATATAAAATATTCTGTTTGTTACATATTTATTTGATAAATATTATTTTACATATAAGTTAGTACAATTAAATACGTATTCCAAAAGCATTTGAAACAGAATCGTCTTTCTATAAATTTTAGTATAGATTTGTAACTTAACAGAAATTATTTAGCTATAAAATAGTTTTTTTTATATTCGAAGAAATTATACAAACAATTTAAATCTTATTTCAATTGTTCAAGCACAATAGTGCAAATTGCAACAATTTATTATTATTTGGTATGAAGTCTATGGATCATCATAATGTTTTGAAAACAGCTATTTTTTATTTGAATTTTCTAAATGATTTGAATTTTCTGTGACATCACAAGATAAATTGTACTTGTTGAAGTTAACACTGGTATATTAATTATTTATTTATATTACCAAAATTGAGAACTATTTTATAAACAAGTTTATGAAAATTTTAGTGATTACATATTAATCGCAATCCATTTTTATTTCAAAGCCCTCATTTGAGTGTGTATTTATGTTCTAGATATATTTGTGTGTGTGTATATATATATATATATATATATATCCAAATAAATTTACAGATAATTCCATATTTTTACAAATATATAATCTTGATTCGTATACATGAAACCAAATCTCTTTCACAACATTAAAACACTCAAAAAGAAAGCAAGAACTATATTTTAGTCACTTACATCAATTAATAAATGCTTATCAAATATCATATATTTCAAGTTAGGGCTTTATAAAATCTATTGGCGAAATATTATAATTATAAAGTAAGAATTCTTGAGAAATTTTGTAACTTAATTACAAATTTGTGCTGTTAGCTTCATCAAATCTCGGTCTTTTCCTGTGATCATCACTTGGTGGCTCTGCAAACTCACGTTTGCGGCTCATATTCTGAAAATGGAAACAGAATTTGTAATGAAAGCAAATCGGTTTTTATGACTCGGTAATGCTAAGCATATCTATTATCAAATTTGATAGGGTGCGCTTATTTCTAGTGAAAAGAAGACTACTTTTTTAACTGTGGGATATACAATATTTGTGGTTATACTTTTATTTGCATAGAGAAAGCAAATTGGTTACAATGACTGGAAAAAGCTAAATGTGATAGCACACTTATTTCATCAAATTTAAGATTGAGCCTATATATACAATATTCAGTAACAATAAGATTTCCTTTTATACATGTACATTTAAAATTATTCTGCTTTCCTATAGCAATTTCAATTGTAGATAGGTCTTTTACAACAAAGACTTCATCCAGACGGACACAAATGTAAATATAGCTTTTGTTTATTTACTTAACTGAATATTTCGAAGAAATTATTTCAACTGAAACATAAGAATTATTATGTTGAGAATAAAATAAATATATTTTACCTTTTTCTGCCATTGCAAGTGAAGATATCTGAGTAGAATGTTTGTCCTATCAGATACTATTTCTGTAAATGAAATTTTTGAGGTTAGATTTTAGGTAAAGATATTTCTAAATATTTTTTGAACGTACCTTTTGATGGTGTTGTTTCTGTCGTTGCTATATAAACTGATGGCTTTTTTATTGTAGTTTTGTTTGCTGTTTCTGTATTATATAAAGCAAAATTGTTCGCATTGAACGATGGCAAATCTTTTAGTAAGTCGCTGACAGGCTAAAAAGATAAAAAAGTGGTTTTAATATGATTAACTTTATATATTCCTAATATGTTCATTAATTACAAACCATTTTTGTTATTTGTCACTTTATCAAATTATAAACGTAAATATTTCGCCTAAAATACTTATTTTTGATATTATTAATTGGAATAAGCGACATTAAAATGTCAAAAAAATAAAGAACTGAAAGGAGTGAAGTTTGTTGGAAGCGACTACGGCTGCGCTTGACAACAAAACAAAAAACGCGCTAAATTCGAAACTGAAATCAAAGCGACTATCTTTTAAAACCCAAAATGAAATGAAATAACAAAATAAATAAAAACGAATCAAAGTGTATAAAATATTTCAAGTTTATCTAAATAACAGTATTTTATTTATGACCACATAAATTTACTAAATATTAAATTACTACTATCATATATATAATAAATTAATGCTTATTAATGCATACATTTTACAACTGCTTTGTTCTCCTATTATGTTTGAAAAAATATGAAAATGATATTTTGATTATTGTTAATAAAAATGTTTAAATCAGCGGTATCCAACATTTTTAAATCGCGTCCCACATTTTTATAAAAAAATGTTGCGCTTTCTTCAGTTTTTGAATAATCTTATTTAATAAATACTCAACTGGTATTTAATATATTTAAATAATATGCAATATTGTTCTAAAATGTAGATGAAAAATAATTATTTACTTTATCCTTTATATTTCAATTCAACTTTTTCAGTTTGTATTCGAAAATAGTACTGGTAAACAGACTGCCCCATAAGATGAAAAACACTGGTTTATAAATATATAGATATATCTATATATATATATATATATATATATATATATATATATATATATATATAATAATAATATTAATAATAATAATAATATTAAATTTATTTATAAAATAGCTACCAATTTAAATAGTTAGATGTAAGATAGCCGTGTTAATTTCATCAAATACATTTAATATTGTGGTGTGACAAAAAAATAAAAAATGCAAATAAAAAAATGACTGCGAACTGATTTTATATCATTGCTTTTCTATAAAATCAAAATATTTTTTTCTGTAATTTTTGCAAACCGTGTCAAGATAATTTATCTTTTTCTTATAATTTCTTTGGATATAAAAAGCTATATTGATATAAAATTCCAAATTTTGACTAACGTTGTTACAGCCCTAACTTACAATATGAAAAATAACATACTCAATCAATTTAATATATTGCAAACGGCTAATTTATAATAAGTTTCATACTACTCCAAATAAAATAATAATTTTATTGTTTATTCATAATATTTCATCAATATAACATCACTAATATTATTTTTATAGAATATTACTTATGTAGAAGTAAAACAGTCATTGATATGGTCCGGAAATAATGAGGCCTACTTCTATTATATTGATTATGTAATATTTTTATGTATAAATTATATAAGAAATAGATTTTTATTGATATATCATGTTCACATTCTTACTGATTTTAATACTTAATACAAAAAACTACTTACAATTAGATAAGGGTACATATTATTAGACCTACGATAAGTACTTTGATTATACTTATTTGGGCTAAGAACTATTGATGGAAAACAAAATCATTTTTTCAATCAATATAACAATTTTAATATTAATCAATACAAAATATGATACTAATGAATTTTTATTTATATACCATTTTAAATTGGAAACATTTTGTTGTTTCAGGGTATTAGGGTGTACTTCTCCCACTATATCAAAATGCTAAATATTTTTACATTCTTGAACAAGATTCTGAATGCAGGTGATTTTTGAGGGACTGTTTTGTGTTTATGGGATGGAAAATTTAGGCAGGATGATTGGTAAGTGATATTCTTAATATCATTAGATATACTTAATACCCAATAGGCATTCCGTTAGTTCTATCAGTATAATTTTCATAAGCTTCACTTTCGTTATTAAGCTACTTTTCCTACTAAAATGAAATCAAACTATAATGATTGAAGTCGTTTTTTACGTATTGCTTATTTCATACTTTAATTTAAATTGATTATCATTAAAATAGGGATGTTTCAAACGAATGTCGCTTATATTGATATATTCAGTAAGTTATTTGGTAATGATCGGCTTGTTAATTATCAAGTTAATTTTATTATTATAATAAAACATTCAAGAATAGAAAAATCAGTTTTTTGCGATTGACCGATATCGGGCTTATTGATTCTGACTTATTTTTAACAATAAACATACGGACGACGATTTGTTGTTAAATATTTCTTTCCACCTGATACCTAATTTACTCAAAATTTTGCTCTGTATGATATATCGTAAGTTTTTGTAACTATATGAGAATCCAAAGGTTTAGACTCGTGTGGACGAAGTTCGTTAGTTCGAATCTCGCTCTGGACAATCTGGCATAGGGCTTTTCCACTATATATTTCCGATATTCATTTCCACTTGAAAATATAAATTAAAAGCATGTTTCCGATTGAAATTAGCCGATTTCAGGCCCTGCCATGTGAAATGACAATGAAAAATCTCTCTTTTCACTAGTTTCCTCGAAACTTGAATGGAATTTAACTCAGCTTACGGACCTGCTCTAGGGCAGTACTACCCATTATTATTTCATTCGTTAAGAGAAATCACATGCAATCTAGCATATTCTGTCCATAATTCAAATATTAATGAAATTTTATAAAAAAACCATTTCTCCCAGGCTTATATTTTAGAATATTCGATCAGTCTATGATTGTGAAACATATTTTTTTCAATTATTAATGACAACAAAACGGCTCGCTCGATTATAGCCAAAAACTAATTAGCATGATTCCCAACTGATATCTTTTTAACAGTATTTAAATTTTTTGCAAAGACGATGACGACCTGCAACTTTTTCGACGATTTTTATGACTTTTTTGACGGTAGATACGATAGTCTTATAGATCATACTAAAATATTACGGCCCTACGACAATTCGTTTAACTTTAAAAATTCGTCAAAGTTTGCAAAAATTAGTATCGTTTTTTGGCATTTGTCATAATTAGACCTTTGATCAACGTTTTCTCAAAAACGCCTGAACCGATTTCAGTGATTTAAAAGACATTTGATGTATATCAATGAGGACTATCGTTTGTCAGTTCTATGCGACGATCTGCCGAGCCGTTTCTTTGTAATTTGAAAAAAACTGTTAAACTTTTCGTTCATATTTAAGCTTATACTACCGAATCGATTTAAAAAAAATAAAAAAACTGTTTGAAAGATATTAGTTGGAAATGATACTGATTAGGAATTAGGTAAAAATCTACTGAGCCGTTTTACTTGTAATTAACTGTTGGGAAAAAAATTTAGTCGATTTTTATGGAACTTTTTTTGGCGATATATATCATGGTCTTGTAGAACTTACTGAAATATTACGGCCTTACGGCAAGTAGTTTAATTTTAAAAATTCATCAAAGTTTGAGAAAATGAGTAGTAGTAAAATTAAAATTAGACGATTTACTTGGTATGACGATAGAGTACTTGGTCTTAATGAACATACTAAACCATTAAAATCCTACGGAAACTGGTTCAATTATAAAAATTGTTGATTAGTGAAAATTTGCTTTTAGAAAATACTCCGAGTTAACGTGTTCGTTTTTTTCAATTATGTATAATAAATCTACTCGGAATACTTTTAGTCGCTCATGAATTGATTTATTTTTATTGATTAAGTCGATTATATACACATATCGGGAAGTTCATGTACCTTGCCTCAAGGCAATATACCAATACCAACTAGTTAATCCAAAAATTAATCAGCACAATTACCAATCGGTATCTTTGGAACAGTCTTTGAATTCGAAAACTCAAGTATTTTTTTGTGGGAAAAATTATGCTCTCATCTGATCATTATAAAAGTATTCAAAACTTTTCCAAGCAAGTTCTTCCAGTCTAAGATGCGATCATCGAATCACAAATTCGCAAATTAAAGCATAGAAAAAAATCATGCAAATTTCGGATGCCGATACGATAGCGTGTACAATACACAGTTAATCGGATGCAAATGTACGCATAGATCTGTTTAGTATATTTTATAAAAATCCATCTATATAGATGTGTGTTTCAGTGTATCGATTATAGTTATAAAATGTAAAATACATTCGTGTGTATGACAACATTGGTTGGCAATGCCAATGTTATAATAGGTTAGTTATCTGAGGCTCGGGCTCCGATCCGAGAATCGAAATTAAGTCAGTTGTGCGCTAACAGCCGACACGACCGGTGCAAATTCAAATTTAATATTTGGCCAGTACAATTTCGATTGAAAGTGATATTGAACTATTTACTGTGATAACTTTTATTGTTCAGAGAGAAACGAAATATGACAAATGTGAGTAGAATTAGACATTTTTAATAAAATTTTTATATTTTTAAAATACTTTAAAAATTCTTCCTAATTTTGGTTTTTTAAATTTTGACTATGGTCCAATTGTTCAATATAGGCATTTTTAAATAATTAATTTTTTCCAACTTGTGATTCTATAAGTCACTCAATATTAAATTAAACATTTCAAATATTTAAAAATTCCTCCCCATTTTTGTTTTTTAAATTTTGATCGTTTCAATATTATATGTGTATATAGGCATTTTTAAATAATTGATTTTTTCCAATTTGCGATTCTATAAGTCACCTAATATGAAATTAAATATTTAAATAAAATATTTAAAAAATTCTTCCCAATTTTTGTTTTTTAAAGTTTGATTCTTTCAATATTATATGTGTATATAGGCATTTTCAAATAATTAATTTTTTTCAATTTGCGATTCTATAAGTCACCTAATATTAAATCAAATATTTTAAATATTCTCCCAATTTTTGTTTAAATTTTGATCGTTTTAGTATTATATGTGTATATAGGCTTTTTTAAATATTTAATTTTTTCCTATTTGTGATTCTATGAGTCACCTAATATTAAATTAAATATTTTAAAAATTCCTCCCAATTTTTGTTTTTTAAATTTTGATCGTTTCAATATTATTTATGTACATAGGCATTTTTAAATAATTATTTTTTTCCAATTTGTGATTCTATAAGTCACCTAATATTAAATTAAATATTTAAATAGAATATTTTAAAAATTCCTCCCAATAATTGTTTTTT